CTTCCGAAAGGGCAGGGGGCGGCGGCGACTCGCCGCAGGCGTCTCCAATCCGCCGCCCCCTGTGGTCTTGCCACAGGGGTGCACAGCGTAGTGGACGTCTGGGAGGTTTGGGTTCTTTTCCGAAGAACTCCCCCTGGGGCTTCGGCCCACCCGCCAGCCAACCCAGGAGAGCTGCACAAAATCCGCGGGTCAATGCCTTGCCCGCCCCAAGATGGGCCAAGATAGACTCCAAGACAACCAAGATGGCCTCCAAGACGGCCAAGGTGTCCCCAAGATAGCCCAGTATAGCCCCAAGATGCACCCAAGACGGCCTGAGACCCACCCAAGACAGCCCAAGATGGTTCAAGATGGCTCAAGACGGCCCAAGAGACCCCCAGGAGGCCTCCAAGACGTCTTTCACCGAGGCCCCAAGAGGTTGATTTTCCGTAGGTTATAAAAGGATTTGGGCATATACTTCCTGTCAGCCTTCCGACGGCCCAAGACGACCCAAGAGGCCCCCAAGATCGCCCCAAGAGCGCCCAAGAGGCCTCCAAGATGGCCCCATGACAGCCCAAGAGGTCCCCAAGACGGCCCCCAAGAAGAGCCCAAGACGGCCCAAGATGGCCCCGAAGACGCCGAAGATGGCCTCCAAGACGGCCAAGATGACCTCCAAGATGCCTCCAAGACGCCCAAGAAGGCCTTCAAGACAGCGAAGATGGCCCCAAGATGCACCCAAGACGGCCCCAGATGGCCTCAAGATGGCCGTAGAGTGCCCAAAAGGCCCGCAAGAGGCCTCCAAGACGGCCCAAGAGCCCTCCAAGACGTCCTCCAGGAAGGCCCGAAAGGGCCAAAAGACGCCTCCAAAAGCTCACAAGAGCCCCCAAGGGGCCCCGAACACGCCCATTCCTCGCTCTCCTCCTCTTCCCCGTCCTCCCCCGCGTGTTCCCCGAAGGCTTTCCAAACCGACTCGGGGTACACATGGTCCGATAGCTTGGCAGGGCTCTGGCCTCAACGTTCGGCCACATAGGCGCTTCCGAAAGGGCAGGGGGCGGCGGCGACTCGCCGCAGGCGTCTCCAATCCGCCGCCCCCTGTGGTCTTGCCACAGGGGTGCACAGCGTAGTGGACGTCTGGGAGGTTTGGGTTCTTTTCCGAAGAACTCCCCCTGGGGCTTCGGCCCACCCGCCAGCCAACCCAGGAGAGCTGCACAAAATCCGCGGGTCAATGCCTTGCCCGCCCCAAGATGGGCCAAGATAGACTCCAAGGCAGCCAAGATGGCCTCCAAGACGGCCAAGGTGTCCCCAAGATAGCCCAGTATGGCCCCAAGATGCACCCAAGACGGCCTGAGACCCACCCAAGACAGCCCAAGATGGTTCAAGATGGCTCAAGACGGCCCAAGAGACCCCCAGGAGGCCTCCAAGACGTCTTTCACCAAGGCCCCAAGAGGTTGATTTTCCGTAGGTTGTGAAAGGATTTGGGCATCTGCTTCCTGTCAGCCTTCCGACGGCCCAAGACGACCCAAGAGGCCCCCAAGATCGCCCCAAGAGCGCCCAAGAGGCCTCCAAGATGGCCCCAGGACGGCCCAAAGGGCTCCCAAGACGGCCCCTAAAGGGCCCCAAGAAGGCCGAAGAGGCCTCCAAGACGTCCATGATCACCTTCAAGACGCCCAGAGAGGCTCCCAAGACGGCTTCCGACGGCTTCAGACGGGTCAGGAATGCAGTAAGACGGCCACAGAGGCCCCCAAGAAGCCTCCAGAGGCCCCCAAGTGGCCCAAGGAGGCCCCAAAGAGGCCTCCAAGAGGCCCCCAAAAGGTCTCCTAATCCTTTTTCTCATCTTCCTGTTTCCTCCCTCTCCTCGTCCTCCTCTTCCTCCCCAACGTTTTCCCCGGAGGGCCGTCGCAACGGCTGGGGGAACGCATGGTCCAACAGCGTGGCCAAACCATGCCCAGACGTTTGGTCACACGAGAGTATGCTCAAACGCGGGGGTGGCGGTGGTGATTCGCCGTAGGCGTCTTCGAAACATACAGACCTACCTACCGACCTACCGACATACCTGCCTACCAACCGACCAACCGACCGACCAGTCGGCCGACAGACCGACCGACCGACCGACCTACCGACCTACCTGCACACATACATACATACATACATACATACATACATACATACATACATACATACATACATACATACATACACACATACATACATACATACAAACAAACAGACAGACAGACAGACAGACAGACAGACAGACAGACAGACAGACAGACAGACAGACAGGCATGCATGCATGCATACATACATACATACATACATACATACACACATACACACACCCATACATATACATATTCATATATAGATATGTACATGGGAACACATGTCTTCAAGTTTTGAGCCTGCTGGGATGCCCCAGGGCTTCCGCGGGCCCCCCTTGGCCATCGGGGGTGATATACGACGCTCCCGCGGGGCACCTGCCGGCAGGCCAGGTGGGTTCCTGTTCGGCGCGCCTCCGCTGCAGAGCGAGTGGAAGGAGGGCTGCCCAGGCCCTCCTCCCCAAGTGCTGCTCCCTGCCCCTCTCCCTGCTCCTCTGGGGCCCAGGCGATCAAGGGCACGTGAGCGTTCTCTTACCCGGCGCTTCGACATTGGGCGGAAACGGGGGCGGGGAGGGGGGGGAGGTCTGGCTCCAGACCTCTGCTTCGTGCGACGGCTTGCAGCAGTGCGTCAGATGGGGAGACTCCACCTGCTCGAGACGGGCGCCAGGAACAGCCAAGATCTACTCCAGGGGGGGGGGAGGGAGAAAGAGAGAAAGAGAGAGAGAGAGAGACACGCCACTGCGGCCCGGCGGCCGGTCCAAGGGTGGACGGCGCGATGGCGCCTCGGCGCCGGCAGGTGGAAAACTCACTTCTCGTCGTTCTGGAAAGCCTTTACAGCATCCGCCCATATTTTCCGGGGACATTCCGGTCTTCTGGTCGAAGGGGGGGAGGGGGGGAGCGAAGGGCCCGCACCGATCGGCAAAACAGTGAGCAAAAAAACGACCACCACACGGTGCCGCCGACGCCTGCTCCTGGAGCCACAGCGCCGGAACCGTGGCGACCATGGGCGCGCCAGTCGCACCAGGGGGGCCGTCTGCTCGTGGGAGGGGGGGAGAGAGCAGGTGAGCCCCGATGCGGTCACGGTCGGCACTTCGTCGGACGGTGGCGAAACAACTCGAGCGGGCGTATGTTTTGTGTTCCCCCGCAGCAGCTCGGGCCATAGGAGGCCACTCAAAACGAAAGGCAAGGGCACGCATGCCGGGAAAGGCCCTGCCCCCAGAGCATTGCAGGGCCCTCCGTGCACGCATCTGCTGGTCCACATCTCCAGCAAACTGAGTGCAGATCTTTGCGCTGCTGCGGCAGAACTGGGTAGACGTAGGTGCTGAACGCAGCGCGGTGATCGGATGTCGGTACCCTCAGGAGTCAAAGGCCAGCACGCCTTGAGATGCAAACAAGCGGACCCACACGGACCCAGTCAATCAAGCACGCCTACTGGAAAATACTCCAACAAGGCCAGCCCAGATCACACGCACTGACGGGCAAAACCAGAACAAACCAAATCAAACTACGTCACATCATTCAATCACTAGACCAGCCCACGAACAACTAGTCTGCCAGCCCGCCAGCCCACCACCAGGCAAGCAAATGAGCGAGCGACCATAATCAGCCTCATCATCGGCTACGGTGCTGGCATCAGCTCGAGCGAGACGGGGCAACAGGCCCTTGCGAGGGCCGTCGAACCGAATTGACTCGTCGACCGAGGACGGCCTGAGGAGAGATCGACTCCAATTGCCGACACTCCCTGCTTCACGGTGGAACCCGCTTCGGTCCGACGGCGAGCTCCCAGCAAACTCCTCCTCCTCCCTGCTTCCCCCCCCTCCTGAGGGGGATCGTGAAGGGAGAACCGGCTCAAAGCGGGGGGGTCAAGGCATCGACCCAGAATCGGCGATACACCACCGCCGACAAGTCGGCGCCCCCCGACGGCGAATCCGGGCCATAGCTTTGCTCTCTCTGGCGGCCGTTCGGGACGATATACTGACACACCTCCGGAACGCCCTTGACGAGGCGCAGCTGATGGAAACCACCCTGGGCCTCGAAAAGGTCCGAAAACCTCCGACAAATTTTCGAACACGACCGAAAACTTCCGGGCATGACTAGCTACCAGACCACCCCAGGCCAACCCGAAGACCCGAATTTCGGGTTGGGGGTGGGCACGGGCTCCATCTGTGTTTTCTCCGTGTGCCCTGCTCCCCCCCCACTGGAAATGGAGGGAGGCCTTCGGGTTGGGCTGGGGCGGTTCGGTGGGTGGCGAGAGCACGCTCGAACACGCCCGCAAACTTCTGTACACCTTCGGGAACGTCCGAAGCGAAGACCCCCCCCCTCTGAGCCTATCCTTGGGTCGGGCATGCCCTCCTGGAAGCGGATCTGGGAAGAAAACTGACAAGAACCAAAAAATCAAACTCGTTCCAAACATAACCCCAAAACATAGCATTGGAAAACCGACAACAGACTATTTTTGTTCACTATCTCTCGAGTGTTACTCCTATAGAGGGACATGCCCGACTTCAGCCTATCCTTAAGTCGGGCCTGTCCCTCTAAGGAGGAATATTCAAAAATAGTCAAAAAAATAGTCTTGAGACGATTTTTTGAGCAATGCTTGGCCATTTGGGGAGCATTGCCTTTGGGAGATTTTTACTTTTCGCCCAAAAAATCCCCCTGCAGAGGGACATGCCCGACTCCAGCCTACCCCCCCCCTGCAAAACGCTGCCCCAGACCCTCCTGGCTGAGGTTGTGGATGCCACGACAATGAACACCCTAACAGTCCTATCATTGAATTTAGCATGTGTTTCACGTGTCGGGAAAAAATGTTCTGGACATGTCTCAAACACGTGTTTCACATGTTTAAAACATGCTTGACACCTGGGAATGATTTGGCAACATGCTCCCTCTCCATTGATCCTCCTGCTCCAGGCTAAGGGCCCCCGCCCCGGCAGGCGGTGCCCCTCGTACCTGCCGCGCGGGGCCGCGCGGCGCGGGCCCCCGACGCTCCGGCGCGGCGCGGCGCGGCGCCGACCTCTCGGAGGCCTCCCCGGCGGGGCCCGAGCGCGGCGAGCAGGGGCGACGAAAGGGGCGAAGAGCCCAGCTGGCCATCGCTCGGACGTCGACTCCCTGCGCTTTTTTCGGTGTGATCAAGGATGCTCCTCGATGGTCCTCGCCGAAGGAAACATGCACACGTCCGAGCGATGCCAAGCCAGGGGGGAGCAACACATGTGCTCCGCATTTCTGATCTATCCACCGGGGGGGGGGGGGGGACGAACGCGAAAACGCGGCGCGGCCAACCCCCCCCGGCACCACCCCCGCGCCCTGGCGGGGAAGGGGACGAACCCCGGACCCCCCCCATTGGCACCCCCGCGGACGCGCCGCGGCCAACCCCACCGGGCACTCCAAGGGGGGGGGCGATTACTAAGCGATCCAGAGTATCCAGGGGCGCCGATGATCCATGTCTTCAGCGAGGCTCCCGAAGGGGTACGTGTAATGCTCTCTCCTGATCTATTCGCCCCTATCGTCGCCTCCGAGGCAAGTTCGTGGCGTGACGACCCCGGCGTTGGTTTCTGACACCGCGTGGATCGTTCAACCTTGAAAGATCGGCGGCGTTCCGATCGCCCGATCGTTCCATACAGGCCGATTATGGGCCACTGGCGGCATTCAACCTTGAACGCCCGCGGCGGGGTCGCCGCCAGTCGACGCGACGCGAACATACCGAAGAATGTGGTCGTAGGATCGCGCCGCATCGCCACATGCATCGTCGATGCCTCGGCGATGCACCGGCGACGCTCGTCGACACGTCGGCGATACATCATCGGCGACGTCGGCGTGGAGCACATCGGGCCCCACCTCGAGCCGCATCGGCGATGCATCGGCGATGCGGCGTGATCCTCCGACCCCATCTACTCCGACCCCGTCTAAGACCGACGGCAAGCCCGAGTTGTGCCGACTTGGGCGTTGGTTTCTGACACCGCGGGGATCCTTCAACCTTGAACGGTCGGCCGTGAATCGAAACGTCGGATCGTTCAACATCGACCGATTCTGGGTCGCCGGCGGCGCTCAACGTTGAACGCGGGCGGCGGGGTCGCCGCCGGTCGAGACCACGCGAACCTGCCGTGGAGACGTGCGAGCTGGGACGGCTGGCTGCGGCCCCGGGGGCTGGGCCCAGCCACCCGCGCGGAACCCCTGAGTAGGGAACCGAACTCTATGCACCGACGCCTTGGTCTGGCCTCACACTGCATCTCGCACAGGGAAGCGGATCCTGGTGTCTACGGGATCCTGGTGTATATACATCCTTCCTTGTTTCCCGAGGACAACGGGAAATAGTATACACTACACCACCCCGACGTCGTCCCCGACCCTCGAGGAAGTCCTGGGAGTGGAAAAAAAACGCCCGCCACTGGCAATGCCTGTGCTCCAGCTTCCGACCGAGCCCCCGGCGCGGCAAAAGTCCTTCGCGGCGGGGGCCTCCGCTGGCCTGCAGCTGGACAAGCGCTCCCGAGGAGGAGGACGAGGAGGAGGAAGAGGAGGAGGAGGAGGAGGAGGAGGAGGAGGAGATGGAGGAGAAGAAGGAGGAGGAGGAGGAGGAGGAGATGGAGGAGGAGATGGAAGAGGAGGAGGAGGAGGAGGAGGAGGAGGAGATGGAGGAAGAGGAGGAGGAGGAGGAGATGGAGGAGGAGAAGGAGGAGGAGGAGGAGATGGAGGAGGAGATGGAAGAGGAGGAGGAGGAGGAGGAGGAGGAGGAGGAGGAAGAGGAGGAGAAGGAGGAAGAGGAGGAGGAGGAGGAGGAGGGAGGCCCGTCGCGCCGGCCCCTGGATGTCGGGCCGCCCCTTGGCGCTCTCTCCCCGCCTGCCCCGCGGCTCTGCCCGGGGGCCTCCGCGCCCTCCGCCCTCTCCTCCGCCCTATAGCCCTCGCTCGGACGGCCACTCCCTGCGCTATTTTGCTCGGCTTCGTGCGTGGCTTCTTCAGGAGGACAAGGAGTGGCACAAACATGAAAACTCGGAGGTCCGCGCGGACTTCTCGGATCGGCACTGGGGCCCCCCCTCCCTGGCGCCTCCGGCGCCGCCCCTGGCGCGCTCCACGCGCCAGGGAGAGGGAGGTCCAGTGCCGATCCGAGAAGTCCGCGCGGACCTCCGAGTTTTTGTGTTTATGTCACTTTTTGCTCCCCTATTTTGTCGGGGATGGACAGACCCCCCTAAGTAAAACTTGGTTTAGTGAAAACGACCTGAGGCCCAAACCTGGCGGGCGCAAGCCTGGAAAATAACAGCCACGCCGAAAACGGACAATTCACTAATCGACGTGTCACTGCTGGGGGTTCTGTCCGCCCCCGATTTTGCTCGGTTTCGTGCGTGGCTTCTTCGCCACATGATCGAGGACGCTCCTCGAGGGCCCTCGCCAGGGAAAGAAGTGCACGCGCGCGAGCGATGCCAGGCGCCCATTCTCGCCGCCCTCGGGCCGCGCCCCCGCGGGGGGCCCGCGTCCGCCTCCGGGGGGGGGGCGCCTCGGGGGCAGTGCGCTCAGCGTCGGGCCCCCGGGGAGCCTCGCGGATCGAGCCGGCTCGAAACACGGCGCAGAGAGGGGTGCGGTCGGGGGCTCCGGGCGCGATTCTCTGCGATGCTGCATTTTTGTGTGGCAAGGTTCAGGAGGGAGAAAAACACACAGAGATCGTGAGTGGCTCCTGGCCTGATCTGGCCTGGCCCCGAGCAGGACCTCGTAAGGCGGCAAGCTAGCCCTGAGTTGACCTGCGTTTGACCTCGGCTTCCCAGCCTGGCCCCACCTGGGCCCTTGCTCAAGAGATGGAAGCGAGGACTGTCGGCCGCCAACAAAGAGGCCTGCTAGAACGAGGAGGACTGCACTGTGCTCAACGCTCCGATCGCGCCTCCAGCTCGCAGGCAGCCGCACCCGCCCAAACCAAGATCGCCCTCAACACCTACCAGAACAGCATACATCGACCTCACCTGAAGCGAATTGCCTGCGCGTCGCAGCGCGCACAGAGCCGGCAGTCACGGGGGCGGTCCCTCATCATTCGCCGCATGCCTGATAGAAGACGCCTTCCCCATCTCCTCCTCGTCAAGGCCCACAGCGCCCATCCAACCTGCCCCCACGCCCCGCTCTTTGCCTCTCTGCCCTTCACCTCGGCCTCCCCTGTGCACTTCAACTTTGGCTTCGTCTCCCGCTGTGGGTGCACCGCAGAGCGCCTTCGGGCCGGCTCACTCGAGTCGGCTTTCCGCTCACATGGGTGCCTCCCTCCCCTTCACATCCTCTGCCCCTTTCACGGTCACACCCTCCTCTGCCTCGTGTCGCCCAAAACGCAGAGATGGGGAGGTGACCTCTCGAGCATCCCGTAGATGTCGTGCGCGTACTCCGCCACATTTTGCGGGTTGCGGGGACAGTTCTCGTCATCGTCCTGCTTCACCTCCGCGGCGCAACGCAGCCGCAAGCAGTGAAGGTCGGGTGCGCTGCGGAGCCACGCCCCGGCCGCCAAAACTCACGAGCTGCGTGCGGGTAGCAGGCCTGGGGGGTGGGGAGAGAAGGGCCCTCCAGACGGCAACGAACGCACCGTCGATTCTCGTAGACCTTCTGGCTCTGGTGCGACCTGCTCTACCAGAAAAAAAAAAAAAAAAAAAAAAAAAAAAAAAAAAAAAAAAAAAAAAAAAAAAAAAAAAAAAAAAAAAAAAAAAACGGTCACGGCATGCGCAGTCAGGAGCCTTAACCACCCTCGTCTGCCAATGTTGGGGGAGCGGAAAAAAAGTACATAAACATAACAACGCGGAGGTCCGCGCGGACTTCTCGGATCCGCGCTGGACCCCCCTCCCTGGCGCGCGACGCGGGAGGCGCCGCCATGGGGGCCCCAGCGCCGATCCGAGAAACCCGCGCGGACCTCCGAGCTGTTATGTTTACGTTATGGTTCGTTCCCCTATATATAGATGTGTGCCCCTCCTGGGACCGATCCTGCGCCCGGCCCTGCTGCCTGGCGCAGAGAGGCCGCCCCCGACGCCGGTGTGCCAGGCCCCGGCGGGCGGCCGCTCCGAGGCTCGCCCGCCAGCTCGTGGAGAGCCACCCCCCCGGCGCACATCTGGATCCACTCGGCATGCGCCGCCTCGCCCTCCGCCTTTCCCGGCTCTCCTCCTCCTCCTCCTCCTCCTCCTCCTCCTCCTCCTCCTGCACCTCCTCCTCCTCCTCCTCCTCCTGCCACTGCCACCCCAAGGAGGAAGTTATGACTGCACCACAACCACCTGACCAGCGCCCTATTGTGTGAACTGACTCGTCATTCGCTGGCGCGGCTGGCTATGCGAAACCCATACCTTTACGTCCGAAACCTCGATATCTCCCCTCCCCCCCCCCCCCCTCCGGATCCGGAAAACCGGGGGGGTCACTACCGGTTCGAACCCCCCCCCCCCCCCCCCCCCTACTCACCGCCAGCAAACGACTCCCGGTCCCCACCACCGTCCGCATCACATCCCCCACTGGTGTTCCCAGCACCACTGTCCTCACCACCGCTGTCCCCACTGGTTCCACCACCGCCCCTACTGTCCCCACCAGTGGCCCCACCACTGTCGCACTGTCCCCGCTGTCCCCAGAACTGTTCCCACCACGGTTCCACTCTCCCCACTGTCTCCACGGCCCCAACCACTGCCCGACTATCCCCACTGTCCCCACTGTCCCACTGACTCCTCCGCTGTCCCACTGAGCTGTCCCACTGTTCCCACCACTGTCCCCACTGTCCCCACCACTGTCCCCACTGCACCTCTGTCCCATTGTCCCACCGCCGTCCTCGCCACCGCCTTCACCACTGTCCCCACCACCATTGTACCCTCCACTGTCCCACTGTTTCCACCTCATTCCCATTGTCCCCACACCACTGTCCCCACCACCACCGTTACCACCACTGTCCACTGTCCCCCCCTGTTCCCACCATTGTCCCCACCACTGTCCCCACCACTACCGTCCCCACCACTGTCCCACTGTCCCACTGTCCCCACCACTGTCCCGCTATCCCCTCACCACTGTCCCCACCAACACCGTCCCCACCACTGTCCGCACCCCCACTCGGTTTTCGAGGGGGGGGGGTTCGAACCGGTAGTGACCCCCCCCGGTTTTCCGGATCCGGAGAGGGGGGGGGGGGGAGGGGTTCGAACCGGTAGTGACCCCCCCCCCTTTTCATGATGAGCAGGGGGGGGGGGGGGGAGGGGTTCGAACCGGTAGTGACCCCCCCCAGTTTTCCGGAGGGGGGGGGGGGGGGAGGGGTTCGAACCGGTAGTGAACCCCCCCGGTTTTCCGCCAGCAGCGGTAGAACACGCTCTTTCCGATATCTCAACCGCATGTTCCGCGAAAAGAAGACCACCGCCTGCTCGAGTTCAAAACAAAAATCCCGCACGCCTTCTCCCCTCACCCGCAGCCCTGAAAAGCCCAGAAGAAACTACAGCGACAGCACTTCACGCAGCAAAATCTAAATCAACCTCGGCACGGGAAACGGGCAAAAGGGGAGGGGGGAGTGCGTGGCGGCAGCTGGGGCAGAGACCCGATTGGGGGAATCGCGTGGCAAACCCCGAAGAGAAGCATCTCGCCGCCCAGCCTCTGGAGATGCCGCTGCAGAGGCATAGGAACAGACCGCAGCGAAGCTCGGCTAGAGTGCGTGGGCGGCAAGCCCGATGTTCTGAGAATCTGCGATGACCGCGCGGTGCAAACGGGCCGCGGCACAGGATGCACTCGAAGGCAGAGCATTGCTGCGACGCTCAAGCTGTCGCTGCACCGCCAAAGCTGACATGCTATAAGCAGCCCCGCGTTCGTCTCCTGGTCCGTGCCCACACATCCGACGGTCCGAGCTTTGCGCCATGCGCGGCCCTGGAGGTCCCGACCCCTTCCCCAGGGGAGCGTTTTTCGTCCAGGGGCAACTCCTCCTCCTCCTCCTCCTCCTCCTCCTCCTCCTCCTCCGCCTCCTCCTCCTCCTCCGAGCCTCCTCCTCCTCCTCCGAGCCTCCTCCTCCTCCTCCTCCTCCTCCTCCGAGCCTCCTCATCCTCCTCCTCCGAGCCTCCTCCGAGCCTCCTCCGAGCCTCCTCCTCCTCCTCCTCCGAGCCTCCTCCTCCTCCTCCGACCTCCTCCTCCTTCTCCTCCTCCTCCTCCTCCGAGCCTCCTCCTCCTTCCTCCGAGCCTCTCCTCCTCCTCCTCCTCCTCCGATCCTCCTCCTCCTCCTCCTCCTCCTCCTCCTCCTCCTCCTCCTCCTCCTCCTCCTCCTCCTCCTCCTCCTCCTCCTCCTCCTCCTCCTCCTCCTCTCCTCCTCCTCCTCCTCCTCCTCTCCTCCTCCTCCCTCCTCCTCCTCCTCCTCGGAGTCCGAGCCGCCGAAACCGATGAAAAACGGCCTCGCCGCAGCACGGCAGAGGCAAGCCGCACGGGCGCTCGAGCTGCAGGGGGCGCTCGGCAGACGAGCAGCAAGGGGGGGAGGGGGGGCGCGGGGGGAAGGGCGGCCGCGGAGGACAGGAGGGCGGGGGAGGGGGAGGGAGAGGGGGAGGGGGAGGGGGAGGGGGAGGGGGAAGGGGAGGGGGAGGGGGAGGGGGGGGGGGGAGGGAGGGGGAGAGTGAAGCGGAGGGGGAGGAGAGGGAGGGGGGGAGGGGAGGGGGGGGGAGGGGGGGGGGAGGGAGGGGAGGCAGCGGGAGGGAGGGGGAGGCAGCGGGAGGGGGAAGGAGGGGGCACCCACGGAAGCCGGGTGAGGGGGAGGGAGGGGGAGGGGGAGGGGGAGGACATGAGGGAAGGGAGGGCACAACGGGCCCCAGCGGCCAAAGCCTAGGAAAAAACGCCCAGACTCAACAACAAAAAATGCCGTCGAAGGCCTGGGTGGCTCGTGCCCAGGGCCGCCTCCAGCTGCCGCCCTGCGGTCCCCGGAGGCAGGCCCAGGGAGGGGACGATCGAGGGGGCAGGCCCTCTCAGAGGGCGGCGGGGCTTCTCAGCAGCCCTCGCGACTTCGGAGGAGTTCTCTGCGCCTTCGGGGAAGGCACGGCGAGCCTCTCGCAAGGCCAGAGGCCGTCCGAGCCTCCCGAACAGGCCCCCCCCCCCCCCCGCGCTTCCACCCCGGGGGCTCGCCGCCGAGACCCCCCCCCTCCCTGAGGGCCGGCAACGCCAGGGGAGGGACTGGCACAGGGGGTGGAAGCATCGCCCTTGAGTCGGCGATACGTCGCCGATGGTGGATCGGCGAGGTAGGCCTCCGGCGAAGCCGCCCGCTCCTCTGGACGGAGCGGGACGGTCGGACCCCGACAGACACACCGACACTCCCGCGCGTGGGCACCGTGAAGGGTGCTGCGGGCCAGAGCGCCACTCAGCGTGGCGATCTTCACAACATGGCAAATCTGAGGAGGAGAACGTGGAGAACGTGGAGGAGGAGGAGGAGGAGGAGGAGGAGGAGATTGGGGCCCCGATCGGCGATAGGTATGGGCGATTGGTGCTCGAGGCATGCATCCTCCCCCAGGCCTGCCCCCCCCCCTACAGTAGGAGCTCGGCCGCGAGAAGCCTGCCGCAAGAGGCCCCAGCCTGAGACCCCAGGACGGCCATGGGTTTCGGGGCGCGGGAGCGTCGCGCCCTCCGTGGCACGGCCCTCGACACAGGGCACCCCGGAGGCAAGCAGGGCGTCTTTTGGCATGGCTTTCCTCCTCCTCCGCCTCCTCCGCCTCCTCCTCCTCCTCCTCCTCCTCCTCCTCCTCCTCCTCCTCCTCCTCCTCCGCCTCCTCCGCCTCCTCCTCCTCCTCCTCCTCCTCCTCCTCCTCCCTCCTCCTCCTCCTCCTCCTCCTCCTCCTCCTCCACCTCCTCCCTCCTCCGCCCTCCTCCTCCTCCTCCTCCTCCTCCTCCTCCTCCTCTCCTCCTCCTCCTCCTCCTCCTCCTCCTCCTCCTCCTCCTCCTCCTCCTCCTCCTCCTCCTCCGCTTCTCCACGGAGCCCCCCCCCCGGGGCCACGGGCGCTCCTGGTCGAACGTGGGCGGCGTGGACGTGCGCGTCGAGCACGTGGTGCCCTGCGAGGCGCCCGACGAGGCCTGCGAGGCCTGCACGGCGCCCGGCGGCGGCGGCGGCGGCGGCGGCGGCGGCGGCGGCGGCGGCGGCGGCGGCGACGACGACGACGACGACGACGACGACGACGACGACGACGACGACGACGACGACGACGACGACGACGACGACGACGGCGACGACGACGACGACGGCGACGACGGCGGCGGCGGCAGCGGCCGCGGCGACACCGACGACGACGTTGTCTGGCAGGCGCCGTGTGCAGAGAGGGCCGCACCCTGACGCTCGGGGAACCGAGGGCGGGGTGGAGAATGGGGGGGCAAAAACAGTCTCAATGACACGCCGCCTCGGAGAACCCATCAGAGCGACACTGTGGAAGAAGCATCAGGCCGTTGGACAGCGAACGAAGGAGCACTTGACACGCTGACGGGGGGGGGGAGGGCCCAGGCCAGGCTCGGGCCCGGCCAAGCTCAAGGGCGGCCTGACCCCGGACCCCCATCGCGTCGTGCAAATCACGACGGAAGGTGTTTTGCGGTTTTCGGTCTCTGCTGGGGGCCATCGCCGGGCCCCTGGACAGTCAAAAAAACTCAGGGCGAAAAACCCGTCCCGGGGGAAGGGGTCGAGACTTCCTGGGGCTACGTTTCGAACAAAACAACATGACGTCGTGAGTCTGGGACGGCCGCCTCAGCAGGCCATTGCCCTTGCGAGCGTGCGCGTCTCGCCACGCGCGTGCTCGCGCTACAGACTCGCGCAAGGGGTGTCGTTCACGCGTGAGGCGCTCCGACCAGGACTTGGTCGCCAGGTCCCCGCAGAAGGCAGCTACACACCGCCAGCATCCCTGGTCAGGGCCATCCTAGGCCATGGCCAGGATGGAGTATAGGCCCTTCGGCTCGAAGCCAGGAGGCCATATAAACCACTATCACTGGGGCCCAGGACGGCCTTGACCAGGCATCGTGGTGTATAGCTGCCGCTTGCATAGCTAGATCTAGGGCGGGCAGACCACGCACGGATCGCCCAGGTCTTCTAGGACTCCCCCGAAGCCTCCCCCCACTCTGGGCGTACATATCGGAGGTCGGGGGGTGAAGTGGCAGTGAAGTAGAAACCCCCCACCGGGAAATCGGTTTCGGTTTTGTGCTCGTGTCGTGTGTGCGGGCGAGGCGAAGCTGCGTGGGCGGGCGAGAGGACTGAACCCTCCTCTGGCTAAGGCGCCGCCGGACCAAAAGACCCCTCCCCTCCGGTTGGCTGGCGGTCGCCAAGAGTGTCCCGCCATGGTGTACCGATGGTGTCCCGTGGTGTCCCGTCGGTGACCCGTCGGTGTCACGCAGTGTCCCGTCGGTGTCCCGTCGGTGTCCCATCGGTGTCCCGTCGGTTTTGCGTCGGTATCCCGTCGGTATCCAATTTTGAGATGGATAATGAAATTAAGTGAGACCGATAATGAGATCGATAATGAGAGCGATAGTAAGATAGATAGTGTGATCGATTGTGAGATCGATTGTGAAACCGATAGTGACATCGATAGTGGTACCGCTAATGGGATCGACACTGAGATCGATAGTGGGATCGATAATGGAGTCGACTGTGGCATTGATCGTGAGATCGGTTGTGAGAGGGAAAACGACATCGATTGAGTGATCGAAAATGAAGTCTCTTGTGGCATCGAGAATGGGATCGATAGCGGGATCAATCGAGTGAGATCGATAATAGGATCGATAGTGATGTCGATAGTTGGATGGATACTGAGATCAATTAAGAAACCGATTGTGAGATCGATTATGAGCTCGATAGTGGGACCGGTAGTGAGATCGAGAGTGGAATCAATAATATGAATAGTGATATCGATGGTGACGACGGTAGTGAGATCGATAGCGGGATCGACAATGGGATCGATACTGAGTCGGGGACGCGCAAACATGGATTAGCGATCCATGGATTTGGCGCGCGGTCGCCAAATCCATGGATCGGGGGAGGTGCCCTCCCCAACGTGCGGCCGGTGCCGCCTCGCTCGGCGGCGGAAATCCACGATTTCCCAGGGAAACGGGGCCCGTCGCTAATCCACGCCCCCTTGATCCATGTTTGCGATCGCCTGACTGAGGTCGATATCGGGATAGAATGAGTGACACGTTGGTTGATCCCCCGGAGCTTCCTTAACCATCACCCGAAGTGTGGTCGCATCGCTTTTACCCACCAGCAATGGCACATACAATAATCAATAGCCGCATCAGCATCAAGTCAATTACCCGCTACCCTGCCGTCGGCAGTAACTCCAGTGTCCTCAGACCCTTTGCCCTCCTCCGCCCCCCCCTCCGTCTCCCCCCACGTGTCCTCCTCCGCCTCCTCCGCCTCCTCCTCCTCCTCCGCCTCCTCCTCCTCCTCCTCCTCCTCCTCCTCCTCCTCCTCCGCCTCCTCCGCCTCCTCCTCCGCCTCCTCCTCCTCCGCCTCCTCCGCCTCCGCCAGCCGGCCTTCGAGAGCAGGACCCCACGACGTGAGGCCACCAGCACAGCGACGAGAGCGGAGCGGGGACGGAGCGGGGGCAAGAATGGGCGACACAGCACCTGCCTCCTCCTGATAGGTATGCCACGGCCGCAGAAGTTACTTGCGTTGGGGTCGATGCCTCTCTTGGGGAGGCGGAGGGTGTTGCCAGCAGCTCTGTTCCAAGGATACCGCAAGCACTGCTCCGACATCTTCAATACCTTCGCTCGACCGAAACATTCGCACAATGAGCAATAAAACAGACGCGAATTCGAGACGGCATCGAAACTTCACCACAACCTATGCGAAGAGTGAGTATGCCTGATGACTCTGGGAATTCCGCTGCACGGGGTCAAGGCCAGTGCTGTGTATTATGACCTCTCGCAGGACACGTAGATCCGACAGGCGAAACCCTTCCCACAGTGAAGAACCTCGTGACCATTCGGGCTCGGCATAATGAGAAGATCCGAGGGCTTCGGTTTGGCCCTAGCCCTAACAAGCCCAACATCATGGAAACGATGCCTGGAATGGTGGCCGAGGAGCCTAGCAGCATACACCGCCAGGAAGGAGAGCTGCTGCCTCCGCCTCCTCCTCCTCCTCCTCCTCCTCCTCCTCCTCCTCCTCCTCCTCCTCCTCCTCCGCCTCCTCCTCCTCTTCCGCCTCCTCTTCCCTTCTCCCCCTACCCCCCCCCCCGGCGTCGAGGCGCCGAGAAGCCACCGCGCCGTGCCCACCCGTGGACCGGCCCGCAGGCGCACGTCCGTCTGCCTGCCCGCCCGCCTGCCCGTCTCTGGCTGCCCGTCGCTGCCTGCCCGTCTCTGCCCGCCCGCCCGCCTCGGCCCCCCTGCCCTGCGGGTCCAGACCGGCTCGACGAACCGCTTCTTATCGCTTCGAGAGTGGAGGGGGAGGAGGAGGAGGAGGAGGAGGAGGAGGAGGAGGAGGAGGAGGAGGAGGAGAAAGAGGAGGAGGAGGAGGAGGAGGAGGAGGAGGAGGAGGAGGGGGACGAGGGAGGAGGAGGAGGAGGAGGAGGAGGAGGAGGAGGAGGGGGAGGAGGGGGAGGAGGAGTAATAATAATAAGCGGCGTGGAGGCGCGCAGAGTTCTCGACTTCAGCTGTCTTCTCGCGGGGACGGCGGCACAGCGGCCTAACATGAAATATGGAAGGAAACGGCTAACCAGTTTCACGATACGGAAAACGAGACAAAGCTGAAACACTACACGAATTTTAAACTCGGCGGCCAGCCGAAGCTGGGAAAGTCCAGGAAGGCACTGGGAGGGGCCAAAGTAGGCCCCACCAGGCCGAACACAGGCCCTGGGGACAACCGCGCTGACTAGTCGAGCGCCCAGGCTGGAAGAGAGAGAGAGAGAGAGAGAAACAAAAAAAAAAAAAAAAAAAAAAAAAACGCACTCTAAGTTCGACTGCAAGGAGGAGCGGGGGAGGAGGCGAGGGCGGCGACAACATCAGGCGCGGCAGGCGGCCACAGGCCTGGATGACCCAGGCGCTCACGAGGGCGATCCACCACACGTCAACGAGGCACAACGGTAGCTGGGTCAGTGGTTGGAGTAAGTGGAGCTATACGCAGAGCGCATGTCCCCACCGCCTTCACAGAAGCCGAGGCCGAAGCCTTCTAGGCAACTGGAGATATTCATCGTAACCACCAGTCGAGAACTGAACCAGTAGATACTCCATTCCCAATCAATACGATGATGAAAGTCAAAGCAACTCAAACCAAAGTATATCGTACGAAGTACCCACCGTCACGATGGCGTCGCAGAGGACAGTAGCTGGATTAGTGGTTGGAGTAAGTGGAGCTATGCGCGAGGCGCATGTCCCCACCGCCTTCACAGAAGCCGAGGCCGAAGCCTGCAAGGCAACTGGAGATACTCATCACAGCGACCAGCCGTAGACTGAGGCCAGTAGATACTCCATCCAATGAATACGATGATGGATGTCAAGATCAATCAAACCGAAGTATGCAGTACGAAGTATCCGCTGTCACGATGGCGTCATCACTAATCTCCGAGATCACTCATCTCCGAGAGTATTCTGCATCATCTCCTCCATGGCCCCAGGGGGGGCAGCTCCGATAGCTCGCTTGGCTCCGATTTGGACGAGGGCGAGGCCCAGCAGGCGGCGCAAACGCGCGCCCGAAGGCAGAGAATGCGCGCCAGAGCCGTCTTGTTGCATCATCGTGCTCAGGTCCACGTTGGCGATCGCAATGTGCAACTTCTTCTTGTTCTGGTCGTAGCACTTGGTGAGACGGAAGAGGCGAATATGGGCCCACAGGTCCTCCAGCGCCACTTTGGCTAGAAACGCCTCGTACCACTTCTTGAGTTCCTCGAAGGTGAGTTGCCCCAGCGCGCTCCCACGCTTCAATAGTGCGTTCGCGAACCCGTTTAAGGTATGCAGGTGAGGAGGACCCAGCTGGTGGCCGCGTCCCTGCCCCTTGACTGTGACTGAGCACTGGCGGCCTGACTCAAGCGCTTCCTCGACCTCGGGAGACTTGGCCTCCACGAAGAACGTGTCTACCCCGACCGCCCACAGATCCCTGACGGCCTGGCTGCACGCCAGCGCTTGTTTGATCAGGACGGCCAGGATGGCTGCTTGCTTGCGATTGAATCCTGCTTCTCGAAGGCTGCCGAGGTGTTTGTTGCGACCCTTGCGGTCTCGACGGGGCTTGGCTCCTTTTCCTCCGTTGCCCTTCTCCTTGTCTTCCTTCGTTTTCTTTTCTTTGGCAGCTTGCGATTCGGCAGGAGGACCTTCGGCTGAACGCTTGAGTGCCCAGGAGGGGGCGGCACTCGACATCGCGGCCAGTAGGACACGGCGGTAAGTGTTCGTCTCGGATGTGCTTCTGAAGCTGGTCGGGATTGGGCCACCGAGAACTGCTACAGATCGGGCAGATAAGAGGCACGGCGACAATGGGATTTACGGCATGAGCAGAGCTAGCATTGCAGGTACCAGCACGATAAGCAGCACGAATGTGTGATTTAGCTGACCGACGGAAGGCGAACGCTTGCATGCAACACGGGCACTGATTGGTCACGACGCACTTGAGTAAGTTAGACGTCTTACCATGGGTACCACCTTCGGTAAAAGTGCTGTGCATTGTCAAAGCTTCGCGTGACGTAAAAGAGGCCCCACAAACACAGCCATCGTCAGTCAACTGCGTGCACCGAAATCGTAGCGCGGCATCGCCCCACCCCTCCACCTCCTCATCGCACGGCACGGGTCCCAGATCGATAGGGGCCCCCGCCCCCCCAAGCTTCCAGAGTTTCCGAATTACCGAGACATCTGCATTCAGGAACCAGTGTCGAACATCGTCGTCTTCAAACAATTCAAGTATAGAACGCCCCCAATGCTCATTCCAGTCATCCATGTCAGTAAAGGCAGCAAGGCAAGACACATCAGCAACAAATCGTCTAGCAAAAAGGTTAGCAGTAGGTGTCACCCGACCGTCGACGAGGGTGTGGTCGGATTTAAACTCATACTTACCGAACAGGGTCGCGAGTACTAAAACGTGATCTTCAGGAAACCGAGCCATGTTTTGATACCAACGCAGCCTCTGGACCAGGAGTTCATACCGGACAGGTACCAAATCAAGCCAGGAGTAGGTGCGTCGGCTGGACCAGGACCGAGGGTGTGGGCCAGACCAATCACAAGCGCCACCTTGGGCAATGGATCGCAGTTTGCGAAGTAACGCCGAGTCGAGCTCATTCTCTTGGGCGGGTGACAAGATAAATGGCGCGAGCCCCGACAATAGCGCACCCTGAACAACCGACACAAAGATGAGTTGTGTTACTTTCCGCGGCGCACGACTGCTCCATAGGTGCTGAAACGCTGTCCATCCACGCGCCGCTGCATTCTTCGCAACCACCATCTGCGGAGACAGAGCACCAGTAGGCATGAAGAAAGGCCCCAAGTAACGTGCGTAGGGCAGTACTTGAGCACCTCCCACCAGTGCGGTGTAGAAGAGTCGACTGTCATGATATCCATTGAGCCAGGGGACAAGGACCTGCTTCTTGAGGTTCTGCTTGTATCCGTACATGTCGAAGACCTCCGTGGCAGTGGCTTGTTCGGCGGTAACCTGTTGAACAGCTTCTGCGAGCTTACCAGAATGCAGTAGAATAGAATAAACAGATCGTCCACATACTTGGCCAGAGCAGTGTCCACACGTTCGTTAAATAAAGGGCAATATGCTTGAAGTTCGGGCTGCGGAGAACGATAGCGCCACGTGTTGACAGGCTTGGCAAAGTCCATGCGCAACTCATCAGGGGCAGAAGTCTCTCCCATGAGGGCTCCAGTAGTGAGCTTGAGATGTAGTGGGCCATCTGCAGCATCCAAGTGAAGTATGTGAGTCGAACGACGATCTGCAAGAAGAGTAGCGTCTGCATCAGGAAAGTATTCATGTAGCACTTCATTGAGTCGGGAATGGTCACAACATCCGCATGCATTGGTCATGTCGTCAAGCACCGCAACATGTCGTACTTTAGCGGAGCGTAATCTCCACACAGTCGCATGCACTGTCAAGATCACATTTTCCCGACGGCGATGAGGCACGCAGCCTTGATCAGCGTGGTGAGGAGGCCCGAAAGGCACACTTTTGCATAATCCACGGCACACAGCACGAAAGAAAAGGCACAATCCATGTAAATATCTGGTGGCACCGTCAGGCTTAGGCGTTTACCACACGTTACTGTATCCAGCACAAGCAGGGAACCTTCCACTCATTCGCCAGCAGGTGGCGAGCGCCTGCATTGCAGTGGCAACCGCAGCCGCGGCAGGAGGTTCAATTGTGCAGCCCACGCCAGCCACAGACTTCTTCTTCTGAGAACAGTACGACGGCCGTAACATCATCAACCGAACTTCACCAGGCATACTCCAATCAGGAACAGCGCGGCGTCGAGCAGCTTTTTTAAAGAAAGGAACTGCCCTCGCCAAATCCTTTTTTCACCAAGCGCCTCGGCAACGTGGTGATTGCTGCACCCAGCAAGCGTGAGTGCAGCACGTTGAGCTTCAAAGTCCGCAAGAACAACAGGTTGCGCACCCAGCCCGCCTTGAGCACCAGACTTCTGCAATATGCGCACCAGTTCCGCAGTCGACGGCGCATGCTTCCGCATCAAGATGCATCGCCTGCGCTTGGGCCCGCTACCAGTGCCAGCAAGTTTGCGAGAAAACGTCTGCACCTCAGCAAGTCGACGGTGCCACCAGGCCACATGTAGCTGCTGAGTCCAGTTAGCGTAGAGTGCCCGTCGCCACCTGCGTACTTTACCTTTGAGAATGGCACTGAGCGTACGTATCTGCGTGTCATGATGTGCACGAGGAGCAGCGACAGCACGAAGCTTACCACGAAGGTCGACTAGCTGACGCACTTCGCGCCGAAGGGCACGTGTATCCTCATCCATGCAACTATTACGTGAGAAATACTTCGCAGCCACAGGTAGGACGATTTCCCGAAAGGCGGCATATCCTTGCTCGATTTGAGGAGCTTCAAAAAACCCAGAAGAGAAAACTTAGTACGCGCCAGTTCAGCATCGAGCTCAGCCAAGAAAGGTTCACGAAGTCCAGGAGTTTGAAGTGCCAGCGCAACACGATCACGACCCCAGGCAATCTTCTTGGCAGAGCATACATGAGGTAAAGACATTGCAATTTCCAGCTTGACAGGTGCATGATCAAGTAGGGCGCCAGACCCAGGCGCCAACTACAACTTCTTTGCAAGTCTAGTCATAGTGAGGCATTTCGTAACATGCTTGCAAAGGCCAAGGGGTACCACTAGGTAGTCGATAAACGAAGTGCGATGCTTCTGGCCGTAGAACGTGGGATATACTTGCTGGAAGGTACTGGGGACACACAGGTGGTGTCGGTGAAGTAATTCACGAAAAGCTTTCGCAGCGTATCCCATTCGGGTCGTCGTAAGTGGTCCAATACATTGATACTGACCAGCTTGGTCCGCAGAGAAAGAATAATTCAGGTCAGTGTAGAGCACAGGGGTGCAGCGGTACGGCAGTGATCCCAAAGTGTCAGACAGCCACTGAAGTAGGCAGTCCACCGTATTACGCCATGCCCCCGTTGCGCGTCCGACAGCCGTGGGTGGAAAGTATATTGCAAATGCGGCGATATCGAAGTCCTTTTCCAATCAGTCTGATCATGCCACCACGACCTTGCGCAGCAGCGGGAGGAGACGACACAACGTGTACCTTGCCACGCTGGAAAGTCTTCACATTGTACCCAATCGAGACGCCGCACGAATTGTTAGTAAACGGACCACGAGCGTATCCGAAGTGAACAAACTGGTGCGCCTCCTCTGACTGCGTCCATGTCGTAGTGTGTGGGAGTACCCGAAGTCGAGTGCCCACGAGCATGACCACAGCGGTGGAGCGCAACAGAGTGCTGATCTCATAGAGTCTGCGGGTCTGCATAAGGGAGCACGGGTTGTACCCAACGAAAGAGAGGTGCTTCATGATCTCAACCTGAAGAAACCAGCCAGGCGACTCGGCCCGTCAGCGCCAGGCCCCTCCCAGGCCCATCAGGATCGATGTGATGTAGGAATGTGCGAGGTGCAGAACAGGGCCCCAGACACCCCTCGATCTCCTGAAATGGGCTAGGGGGGGGAGGAGGGGAGGGGGAGGGGGAGGGGGAGGAGGAGGGGGAGAAGCAGCTTTCCTCACCAAGAAGCACTTTTTTCCAGAGAAAGGCAAACGGTAACAACAAAAGAAGCTAAGAACAGCCCTGCCCCTGCCGGTCGACGCCTTTTCGGCGGCTCTCAAAGCTTGGGCCCTGACGGGTGGGGCCCCGAGGACGCGAGGCCCCCCAAGCTAGTCATGCGAGTTCGGCCCGGGAGCGCATCTTGTCCGTGGGGCCCCCGTCCCTCGGAGGAGGCGGCGGCGGCGGCGGCGGAGGAGGAGCAGCACCCAGCCCCCGCGTCCCGCGCCCTGGGCTTCATGCACTCGTAGGGCCCAGTGGCGAACGCCTCGCGACGGCGCGGAGGGGGGGGGGACGGCGGAGGCGGCGGGCTCTGCCGCCTGCACACCGCCGACGCGCCACGCCGTCGCAGTCCGCCGTCCGTCGCGCGCCGTGCACCGCACGGCGTGCGCCGTGCGCCGCCGTTCGGCCATCGCCCGTCGTCGTCCGTCGTGCGTCGTGCGTCGACCGCGCGGTGCGTCGTGCGCTGGCGCCGAGCGCCCCCCGTCGGTCTTCGGGCGCAGTCGGGTCTCGATGTGCTCGGGCGTGCGCTGTCGGGTCTCGATGTTTTCGGGCGCCTTCGCTGGCTCCAGGCGGCGGCCGTGAAGCCTCGGGGTGCTGCCCAGCAGCTGCGCCTCGCCGAAGGCGATCCTGGGGGGCGTCCGGATCGTCCGGAGTCGCCGCCGGAGGACCGAGCTGCGGCCCGAGAGCCAGGGGCAACGACGAGGGGGGCAGGCTCAGAGGCAACTCCTAGGTTTAGGTCGGGCGTGTCCCCCCACAGGCGGTTTTTGCACAACAAATTCAAACAACCAACAAGGAAAAAACATAACAAATGCTCACACCTGTTCAAAAACAGTATTAAAAAATCGTCGCCTGACTCTTTTTAAAAACTACTTTTGAATTGTCCACCTGTAGAGGGACGCGCCCGACTTGATCCTAGGTGCCCCCAGCTGGCGCCGAGCTCTGCCGTCCGCGGGCGCTTCCCTCCAGGGGGGGAGGTCAGAGAACTGTGCCTGGAGGGAGGTCAGAGCTGTGCCTGGCGCTGCCAGAGCTGCCCCTGGGGAGGGCCCGGATGGCCTTCGGAGCACCTGCCACAAATAGGGGGCCACATGCGAACCCTACCCCTACCCCCCACGATTTCTGAGGGGCAGGGTGGGGTTCACCTCGTTCGGGAGCTCCCAAGCGAAGCGAACCCCACCCTCCCCCTCAGAAATCGTGGGGGGTATAGGGGTAGGGTTCGCATGTGGCCCCCTGCGGATGGCCTTCGGAGCACCTGCCACAGAGCCTGGAGGGCCCCCGGGCGCTCCACTGCGGCTCGCAGAGCTGTGGACGCCTCGGGCCAGCACCGCTCCCGGCAGCACCCGAGGCTGGAGCGCGCCTCGCGCAGGGAGCCCGTCGGAGGCCTCGCGGCGGGAGAGCTCGGAGGGCGCGACGGCGGAGCGCACAGTGCAGCGGACCGGCCAGGGCGCTGCGAGGCGCCAAAACGCCGCCGGCAGGAGACGCCGCCCAAACTGGTGGCCAGCATAGGAGGCCACATGCAAACCCTACCCCGCCACCCCCCCTCAGAAATCGTGGGGTGGTGGCGCAGGGTTCGCATGTGGCCTCCTACAGCATCCGATGATCCTCGGAACTGAAGGGGCCCAGGGGCATGCAAAACTCGCCGGCCCAACGGGCCAGAGGCGTGCTGAGATCTCTGGCGACCGTTGGCAGCCCCAGGGGGTCCCAGAGAGGAAAAACACCCCGGAATGGACAAGCGCGTTCCCACTGCTCGCAAAGTAATTGCTCGCGAATGGCCTGGATCTGCCACGGGGGATCTACGATCCATTACATGGAGGAAGACATGCTACTTTTGTTCAGACGTCTGCGAGTAGTGGAGCGCGCTCGGCGACAGAAGGTCCTGGCATGGCAGATCCCCGCCGGGGTTCCGCCAGAGATGACGGATCTCTTGGGCGCGACCCTGGGGGCCTCGGGAGCGATCCAGGAGCGGCCCAAGGGGCCGCCTGATAGGTGGCAGGCCCCACGGCCTGAGGCCAAGAGCGCTCCAAGACGGCCCCGGGTGGCGTCGAGATGGCCCAAAGTACCCCCAACACGCCCCAAGAGGCCTCCAAGAGGCGTCCCAAGAAGGTCCCCAAGAGGAACAAAAACACTGATGCTCGTAAAGTGTTTGAAGGATTTCGGCGTTCTCGCCTTTTCAGCTTCCCGACGCTCCCAGGCGGCCCCAACCGCTCCCAAGACCGCCCTCAGACGACTCAAGAGCTCTCGAAGAGGGCCCCAAAACAGCCCCAGAGGGCCCCAAGACCTCCCAAGCGACCTCCAAGATGGGTCAAGAGGTCTCCAAGATGGCTCCAAGAGAGAGAGAGAGAGAGAGAGAGACGAGATTGCGCACCCGAACGGACATTTCAAGCTTCTGCCCCAAGATGCCCCCAGGAGGCCCCAACAGGCCCCCAAGAAGCCCCAGGAGGCCCCCAGAGGCCCCCAGGAAGCCCCGAGAGGCTCCCAGGAGGCCCCAAGAAGCCGCCACGAAGCCTCCCCAGAAACCCCAACGAGCCTGTCCAGACAACACCACAGGAGTCTGCGACGAACACTCGAAACCAACTCCACAGTCACAGACCCCCTCAGGAAACGAAACCAACCCAACAAACGAAACCAACGAACGAAACCCAAACCCAACCAATGAAACCAACCCAACGAAACCCAAACCCAACCAAATCAACGAAACCAACCCAACCAACGAAACCCAAACCAACCCAACCAACGAAACCAACTCCACAATCACTGCATCATCTCCGACGCACCCCAAGCACCCCCTCGGGAAAACGGCCCCCGCCCGGCCGCACCGCGTTGACAACGATCCATCGGGCAGTCGACAGCTGAGCGACAACATGGGACGGCGGAATGGGCGAAGCGATCAAACAGATAGACAGAAATCCCAGGACCTCCTGTAGTTTCCAATTTTTTCTGAACGCTCGTCCTCCCCTCCGCTGCCTCCCATGATTTCCACACTGCCGTGGGAATCGACGATGACTTGCGTCTGTGTGTTCTTCTCTCCTGAAGGACGTGTGTTTCGGGGATGGACAGACCTCCCTTCAGTAAAACGTAGTTTCGTGAAACGACCTCGGGCCCAGACCTGGCGGGCGCAGGCCTGGAGCATGACGGCCGCGGCGCCCTCGCGAGAACCGACAACGGACAATTCGCTAGTCGACGTGTCACTGTTGGGAGGTCTGTCCACCCCCGAGGTGCTAGCGCCAGCGCGTGCTCGTCCACCAAAGCCCTTCCACACGACCTGGGCGGCGCAGCGGGGCCAACACGGGCTGCGCGCTATCGGCGGAGTCAAGGTGGGGAACACACACACACACACTTGGGCTAACACACACACACACAAGGTGGGGAACACACACACACACACACTTGGGCGAACACGCGTCCTGGAGATCAATCGAAACATACACGTAAGCCTACCGATCTTCTCGTGCCTCCCCCCACCGAACCGAGCGGGGGCCTTGCCGGAGAAGGCGGCGCCTGCGCCGAGCAGCGGGTCCTCTCGGGAGCAGCGGGCCGCGCAGGCAGAAAGTCACGCTCAGAGCCCCATACCAAATGTGCTAACGGCACACGCGTACCGATGAGCACGCCCATGGCCACCACACGCGCACGATTCGTTCCGGAGTCGTGCACGGCAGCAATGGCTGGAGCATCACAACAAAGCTCTCAGATCCTTCGCGGCGGCAAGAACGAATGAGGGCCCCAGGCTGGGGCCCTGGAAGCGTGGCCGCTACAACACATGTAGACACACGCACCTAGGAGAGAAACTACAGGCAGGAAGTGCTCCAACGAGCAAGTACGGTGCACATGTCCATGCGTTAATCCAAGGTCCGCTGCACCACCTCCTGAATGCTGGCAGCCTCGTCTGACCAGCGGACAAGACAGAGACAGAGACAAAGATGATACATATGTGTATATATAGAGAGAGATAGGAAGAAACAAAAAAACGATTACATAACAAACGATAAAGAAAGCGAGAAGACGAGCAACCGACAGAGAAACGGGACGGGAAAGAGATAAAGAGAGAGGGAGAAAGAGTGGCAGAGCGAAAGAGAGAGAGAGAGAGAGCGTGTGCGCGTGTCTGCAATTCATAGTCAGCGACATAAAAACATGCTGCTGCCTTTCCATTGTCGCCGGTGTTTGTGATGTCTCGCAGCGCCTGCGAGAGAAACAAAGGAGCATGACAACTCTGGTTTGTTAGAAGCAAATCTAAGGAACGTGACAAAACGAGCGCTCCATCCTCCTTCCAGACGAATGCAAAGATCATCACAAATCCAAATCAACAATCAGCGAACGATGTTTGGGGCGTCACTCCCGCAGCAAGAACACCTGTCCTGCACTCTCAGTATGTCTCAGGATTTAGGCATGCACTACTCATTGCAACGAAGCCAGAAAACTACACCACAGCTCGGTCACGCTACCAGAACCACAATTGACATAGAATGCAAGTGTGTAGGCCAGCAGGACGGCACCCGCAGCAAAAAAAACAATATATGGATCGAGATCACACATCATCGCCTAGATGGCAATGACGGTGACTGCTTCCTAATTGTTGAACTCTGAACTCTGGAATGGCCTCCGCAATGCCTGGTGAAGCAGCTGCACAAGTGCGAACACACTCGAGAAGCACAGCACAGAACGAGGCACCCTAGGACCGCTGGCACGACGTCCACCTGTCACCTTCGCAAAGGGCAACAGACGAACATGCAATTGACAAAGATAATGTCACATGAATACGTGAGCATGCTAAAACCCACCAGCAAACACACAAACTATCGTTGAATATGACGCACCTGTATTTCCAAGAAAACGATGTATCGATACCCCAAACCAGATGAGAGAGATGCGGAGTGAACGTCGGGGCGAAACAACACTACATGCGTCACGTGCCAGAACATAGAAAGAGAAACGGCGACCTTCAAAACCCGATTATCTGCCGCAACCCTCATTGAGGCCTAGGGCGGCTGCCTAACACTGCCCTTGGGCCTCTGATAAGCAAAAGAAAGCATACCATGGAAGCACGGGTTGCTGCAACAACGAGAGACGCGTCGGTTATTGCATACTCAGTCGATGGGACTTCACCACTGCTACACTAAAGCAAAGCCTGGTACATACCACGCCCCCTCACCCACCTCCATCCTCACGCTACCCCTCCCTCTCATGGTGTTTCTTCTCTCCGTCATCCTTCTGTCTTCCGGTCAACATACAACACGCACGAACAGCTAGCGGTTCCGTGTAAAACTTATCTTGACCTAGCATACTGTTAACCAGCAATTGCACTAAACACTGCGACAGAAGTCGAATGCATGCATCAAAATGGCCACCAAACGCCCCTCCGCAACATCCCCCATGGCCTCCGATCGTCAACACGACTGTTCCAGCACATGTCGGAATGGCAACCAGCATAAGAGCCTGCCTATACCCTGCAGCATCCTTAAAGAAATCTTGAAATGAATCGGAATCCCTGGGCGGATCTGATCGACTAGCCGGGCACAGCCCAGCAAACACAAGCTGTTGTGGACGAAGGGATATAAGAGGGAGGAGGGAGGAGGGAGGAGGGAGGAGGGAGGAGGGAGGAGGGAGGAGGGAGGAGGGAGGAGGAGGAGGAGGAGGAGGAGGACGAGGAGTAGGAGGAGGAGGAGGAGGAGGAGGGGATATAAGATGCCCGTGTGTGACCTTTTTTGCATGTGATGCGCGTGTGTGATGTCGCCCGACCTCCGTGGGACCGAGGGCTGCCCCCAGAGAGACACGCTTGACCACCCACGGACCGACCTCCTCCTCCTCCTTTCCCTCCTCGTCCTCCTCCTCCTTCTTTTCCTCCTCCTCCTCCTCCTCCTTTCCCCTTTCCTGTTCCTCTCCCTTCTTCTCCTGCTCCTCCTGGACCACCCACGGACCGATGACTCTCGATTCCTCGCGTTCTGATGACGCCGATCGAACTCATAGGGAGATCGATCTGGCTCCGAGCATCAGCAGGACCAGTCTAGACCAGCGGCACACAGCTGCAAACCCATGCAGGACTGTTCGGGACCGCTGCATGGAAAATGCGCGTGCACGCGTGTGACTCGCGATGCGTCCCATGATGGCCGCCGTGTGGGTGTCTCCATGTATAAACTCATCCTTATATTTGTTAATCAACCCTTTATTTCCCTACCTAGGCTCTGCCTAGAAGGGTTCTTACTCGCTTGGCTTAAAGGGGCCGGGCAGTGCAAACCGCCCCGGGCGGTTCCCCCAGTCCCCTGGGAGCCAAGCAAAAGCAACTGCAAAGGTAAAAGCAAACGCGCGGTTCCCCCAGTTGCGCTCCCTGGGTGCCAAGCAAAAGCAAAAGCAAAAGCAAAGGCAAAAGTGAAGACAAAAGCGAAGTCAAAGCAAAAGCATAGCACAGCATAGCATAGCATAGCATAGCGCAGCATACCATAGCGCAGCATAGCATAGCACAGCATAGCAGAGCCTAGCCTAGCCCAGCATAGCATTGCGCAGCATAGCATAGCATAGCATAGCAGAGCAGAGCATAGCATAGCATAGCATAGCATAGCAAAGCATAGCGCAGCACAGCATCCAATATTGCTGCTGTTTGTATATATGTGTGTATATATATATATATATGTGCGCGTGTACTTATATACGTGTGTGTGCGCACGTATGTTCCATGAATGTTGTCTGTCTGTGGGCCATCTTGAGCCCTTAGTGGGGCAGCTTGAGCCCTTAGGATTCACGAAGGTTTCGCACATAGCACCGGCTGGGAGACATGAAACCCGACGTATTGTCGCATGGCTTAAATGTCTTTCTATATATGCAAAATATGTGTATAGATACATAACCCCCATGTGGAATGCTGCATGTGTGTGCGCGTGTGTGTGCATGTAGATGTAGGTCTAGATGTAGGTGTCGATGTAGATGTAGGTGTAGATATAGACGTAGATGTGAAGAACTCCCCAGTGCCCCGCCCTCATCTCCGTGCCTGCTTGCTTTTGCTGCTGTCTCGGCGACTTGCTGCCTGCTTCTGCTGCTTCACTTACGGCGTGGCGTCGGCGGTTCTGGCGCTACTACTACTACTACTACTACTACTACTACTACTACTACTACTACTACTACTGCTGCTGCTGCTGCTGCTGCTGCTGCTGCTGCTGCTGCTGCTACTACTACTACTACTACTACTACTACTACTACTACTACTACTACTACTACTACTACTACTACTACTACTACTACTACTACTACTACTACTACTACTACTACTACTACTACTACTACTACTACTACTACTACTACTACTACTACTACTACTACTACTACTACTACTACCACTACTACCGCTACTGCTACAACTACGACGATGAGGAGAAGGAGGACGGCGTTTACCGCTCCTGCTAATGTTGCTTTCCTAGAGGCTCCAACTCCTAGGTAGGGTCGCACTGGGATAATTTTAATATATGGTCCGCACGCGGAGCATGTATTAAAAACGGCACTGTACTGTATGTCCTCCTTGGAGGCGCGCCTCCGACACGAACATGCAGTATGCCCATCTTGTAGTAGATCGTTGCCCGAGCGGCGTGGCCAGAAAGCGCCCGCCACGACGCACATACTGTAAGAGTTCTCGGCACGCGCGTCGCCCCATGGGGGGGGGGGCGACGCACATATGGTATGAGTATGCTGGGGTGACGCCGATCCTGCTCTCCCTCCTGCGCCGCCACCGAGCCCGCTGCCTCCACGTCACCAGCCGCCGCCGCCGCCTCCGCCGCCTCCCCCTCTGCCTCAGCGACACCCGCCTCGACCTCCTCCCTGTTGCCTCTCCTCGCCCTCTTCCCCTTCCAGCCCAAACGGGGCCCACTCATCAACGCGTCGCCACATGGGGGGGCGACGCATATGTATATATACATATTTATAAACATATATATATATAAACATATACATATACATATACATATACATATACATATAAATATACATATACATATACAAATACATATACATATACATATACATATACACATGCATAAACATTTACATAGACATAGACATAGACATAGACATAGACATAGACATAGACATAGACATAAACATAGACATAGACATAGACATAGACATATACATATACATATACATATACAGATACATACACATATACAGATACATATACATATACATATACATACATAAACAGATATATAGATAGATATAGTACAAGTGCGTTGGGATGACGTCGGGGGTCCGTTCCCTGGGTTTCCGCCGCGCGCCTGCCCGTGGGCGCCCCGCGACCGCGCCGCGCGGGCGCCCCGTGCGCTCGGGCCTGGCTCCCCCGGGGCTCCCCGCCGCGCTCCCGCTCGCGGGCGCCCCGCGCTCCCGCTCGCGTGCGCCGCGCGGGCGCCCCGCGCGCCGGGGTGGGCTTCGCGAAGATTCGCCACGCGCCCGCTCGCGGGCGCCTCGGGGATGACACCACGCGGCCTGCACCACGAGACTCGCGCCGCACGGCTGACACGGCACAGCCCGCGCCACCCAGGAGGTCGGCACCGCAGAGCGCGCGACCCGCCCGGCTCGCACGGCGTCGCCTGCACCACAGGGCTTGCACAACAGAGCTGACACCACATAGCTTGCACGACCCGCCCACCACACACACACAACATAGCTTACACAACATAGCTCACAATGCGTTATTTGAGCCGAATAAGGTACATCACATCGCTTACACCATAGATGGCATCGCATAGCTCGCACCACACAGATTGAACAGATTTTACAACACATATTTTACAACACAGCTTGTACCACATAGGTTACACCGCATAGCTCACTCCACATAGTTCACACAACATAGCCTACACCACATAGAGTAAACAACATAGCTTACACCACATAGTTTCCACAACCTAGCCACACACACACACGGGATCATCAGGCACGGGCAGCAGATGGAGGTGCTAATTGTGGCCAAAGATTATTGATATCGCGGCGTGCAGCAGCACATCGCAGCATGCAAGCATGGGTGTGAAGAGGAACTGTAAGTCCAGGCGAACGTGCGGAGGCCAGAAAACGAGGAATTAACTCAACTCGCTTAACTGAAACGCGGGTGCCGACGGCAAACTGCGGCCACTGACGCACACACAGACTACATAGCTTACACAGCACGCCTCACAACACATACATGGCACCAAATAGGTTTACACCACAAAACTTACACCACATAGATTAGGTTACACCGCATAGCTCACATCACATAGCTCTAACCGCATAGCTTACACTGCATAAGTTACACCACATAGCTCACACTAGATAGCTCACAGTGCATCGTCTTCACCTGCAGTGCAACAACACACTGTTCGGAGTCCACGATTGCTAACATGAAGAAACAAAGGAACGCCATGAAATGTCGATCATCCGCCCATCCATCGGTCCGACAGTCAGTCCTCACGTACATCAGCGCCAGGCTCAAGCGGGATGGCATTGCCGCGCGAATCCCCCTTATTCTAGACGCTCCCCCATGACCCTCGCGCCGCGGCAGCACCGTTGGTGCGCCGCACCACGACGTCGTAGCCTACTTCCGTACCATGCAATGGCGAGCTTCGCGCCAGCCCCCATGGATGCATCCAGACGACCTGGCGGGGGAGACCCACTGCTGGGGAGCGGGCAGGGCCGACAAGCGGCTGCCAGCAGCAGCCGACCACGCGGCGAAGGCGGAACCCATGGAGCGGTGTCCAACACGCTCCGCCACGGCGCGCGCGCCTGCTAGAGCCACGTGTACCTGCGGGACGCGCACCGCGTTCGAACGCCTGCTGGCCGCGCGCGTCCTCCCGCTGCAGCCCCCTGGATTGTGCCCACGAACAAGCTCGCTTGTGCGTCCACCAACACGTTCCGCCACGGCCCTCACAACCGCGGCCCACCGCACGCCCCCCCCAAGGAGCCGCCGAGCCGAGGGCGAGCGCCGAGCCTCCCGCGCACCGCCGCGGCCAGGCGGGCGGCCCCCGGCAGGCCCACCTCGACCTTGAACTCCGCAGC